TGGAGGGGCCCAGCCAAGCCCCCCACACTGTCTCCCCCCACACAGACTTGGCTAAGACTGTCCAGGCTTCTGCACCAGTCCCAGGTGGTTCAGCTCCGGGGAGACATGTGGGGCCCCCCAGGGGGTGGGAAGCAGAGACTGGCCGGAGCCGGAGGGGCACTGGCGTCCGGCCAGGGGGCAGAGGGAAGCCGGCGGGTGAGGCCGGGGGTGGAGAGGAGCCATCGGCCAGTGGCTGGCTGGGAGGAGTAAGTGGTGGGCGTGGTGGGGGGAGCCAGCGGGGTCTCGGGGCGAGCAGAGCAGGCCGGGGCCCTTCTGAGCATGGGCCCGGCTCCGTGGCGCCACTGGCACCATTGTAAACCCGGCACTTGATGGGGTGGGGGTCTCTGTGGGTGGCTCCAGACTTGTAACTCCCCCCCCTCCCCATCGCTGCCCCACAGGAGCCTTCATCCTCCTCTACCTCCTGATCCTCCTGGTGGTGGGGCTCCCCCTCTTCTTCCTGGAGCTGGCGGCCGGGCAGAGCATCCGCCAGGGCAGCATCGGGGTCTGGCAGCACTTCAGCCCCCGCCTGGTCGGCATCGGCTTCGCCAGCTGCGTGGTGAGTGCGGGGGGCACGGCTGCGGGGAAGCTCGCAGCACCAACGGGAGAATTCCTGCTGGTTTCTATTGTTCCCGTTTGCCCGCCCCTGGGGAGCCTGGCCCAGTCCCCATGTCCCCATCCTTTGTCCCACTCTGGGGGGGGGGGAGGGGAGGGTGTCCCAGCACCAGGGGAGGGGTCCCCGTGTGCCCAGCTCCCAGGCCTATCTCAGCACCGGGCGAGGGGTCCCCGTGTCTCCGACACCCACCTGGGGGCCCGTCCCGGCACCGGGCGAGGGGTCCCCGGGTCCCCAGCCAGGCTCACCCCTGTCTCCGTGCCAGGTCTGCGGGTTCGTTTCTCTCTATTACAACGTGATCATCGCCTGGAGCCTCTTCTACCTCGGTAACTCCTTCCGCGCCACCCTGCCCTGGGCCAGCTGCCCCCTCGGTGCCAACCACAGCCAGCCAGGTAGGTGCTACAGCCCAGCCCCCGCCTGCCACTGGGGGGGCGCCACCCTCCCTCCGCTGCCCGGTTCTGACCCGGCTGGGCCGTGGGGGGAGGGGCGGGGGGCGCTGCCCGGTTCTGACCCGGCTGGGCCGTGGGGGGGAGGGGCGGGGGGCGCTGCCCGCTTCTGACCCGGCTGGGCCGTGGGGGGGAGGGGCGGGGAGTGCTGCCCGCTTCTGACCCGGCTGGGCTCTCTGTTGGCAGAACCCGAATGTGCCCAGAGCTCCCCCACCACCTACTTCTGGTACCGGAAGGCGCTGGACGTGAGCGAGTCGATCGGTGTCAGCGGGGGGG